TATATTTCTATTTTAAAACAAGTCAGGGGAGAGGAAACCCATAAGATAATCAAAATTAAATACAACATTAAAAAAAAACTATATTATGACATATAGCAGCAGAGGGGAGACCAAACCGATAAATAGATAAAATACATTAAGACTATTAATATAAAAATATTTTTAAAATGTGTAAAAAATAATAATGAAAAAGGGACGCAATAACAATATTATAGCAAAGCATTTAAAAAATAAAAAAAAGTAATATTATAGCATACCGTTATAGCCTTGTGGGATCGATTTTTTAGCTTAAAAATACATTCAGTTTCTTTCTTCAACAAAAAAATCTGGTTGTATCACCACCTCTCAATTAGGATACTACCTTGTCTATCCCAATACAAAATAAATTGTTCATGGCAGACACCCTCGATGTCCCTCAAGCAGCCGTTGGTCATATTACCAAGGTAGATCCACAGAAAGGATGTTCACTCCCCAAGAGACCATATGATACGGATGACCTGAACTCCTTGTCAACTTGGAGGGGGACGGGCGGACCTGGGGGGTGGGGCAGGTACGGGGAGGAGGATTAAAGCATCAGAGCATGTTCCTACTATGACCCTGGACCACTAGCCTTATCCATGCTACTGATGACCGCCACATACTGTACTTATTGCACATATTTCAAACAGATGTTAATGAATTGTTCCAAACAAGAAATGTTTTTTCTCCGACAATGTTTATCTTCCAATGCTGATTCCTCTGCGAAGGATTTTTTTTTTAACGCTATACTGTATGTCGAACTCAATAAAACATATCTGACACAAAAGAGATTGTTACAATTGAACTCCGTCCAGTTGGTGTCTGGGTACTCTGTACTTATCACCTCCACGTTTTACCCGTAGCAGTCTTTCAAGTAGTGTCCTAATAATCCTTCCTTCATATTAGATACCACAAATATATTCAAGTAAATAACCATATTTTTTTGCCTGACAATTTATAAAATGGTTAGTTTTAAGTTTCCCCTGTGATAAAACTTTTAAAACTCAGATTTTTTTTTGCATGAAACTTTCAAGTGCTACAGCTGTTCCATTATAAAAACTTTTCTCTTTCGACTTGCACTTTTCTTAAAGCGTGGGATGACAGTGGGTTCCAGAATCATCTAAAAATTTTCTGGTTTTCTGCTAAATATTTTTGGGTTTTCAGATAAGACATTTCTTAGAAAACGATCTTATTTTAAAATTGGTCAGTGTTTTTGATTGCTTTCTCAATCTTATGTGCTTTATTATTATATTTTGTTAGAAAAGCAACCTCAAAATTATTGTCTTTTTTCATTTCTTATTTTCTCTTGTAATTATTCTTCTCTATTGAACTCCTCAATCTTTTATTGAGTTTCAGTTAACAAATCTAGTCTAAGGTAATGTCTACTGAAGTTTTGTATTTATTTAAAGGGACACGATACGCACCTAGACCACTTAATCTTATTGAAATGGTCTGGGTGCAATGTCCCTGTCTACCTTAGTCCTGCAATGTAAAACATTTCATTTTTAGAGAAATTGCAATATTTACATTGCAGGTCTAAGGCAGTCCTCTTGTGGCTGTCTACCAGAGAGCCATTAGAGGTGCTTCCGGGAGTTAACCATATTCAAGGTCATCTAAAAGACGCTGGACGTCCTCACATGCTTGCCGCACACACGCATTAGGCCCCCCCATCAGATGACGTTGGAGGAGGCAGAGCGACAATCTAGTGCCGAGGGACATCAGTGCTGGAATTGAGTGAGTAAATAGAGGGGTTTTAACCCTTTACATGCTGTGAGGAGATGGGCCAGAGGGCACTATAGTGATAGAAGTACACATTTGTATTCCTTTTTTTTTTTTTTTTTTTTTCATTCGATAGGTTCAGCAAGTACAGCTCAAAATTTCGGGCTTGCGCAGAAGCCAACATTTGAGAAAAACTTCTTGGCAAAACAATATGTAATATGAGCTTATAATGCAAGCCTCTTATTAATCCCAATGTGCCTTGCTCCTCCTCAGCTAAGTGGGCTACCTTCCCATGGTGCCCAAATTTTTTGAAATGTTTTTTGGGTTCCCCTTACTCTGGCTGTGAGGTCGTCCATAAGGTGGACCTCCCTTATCCTATTGAGGACTCCTGCTATGGGCGGTGTTGTAGGTTTGATCCAGTCGGACGCTACTGCTAGTCTAGCAGCTAGGGTTATCTTGTGTAATAGTTTCTGTTCAAGCCTAGTCCACCCATCTATAGTTCTACTTAAAAGATACACCCATGGGTCCAGTGGAGGGGCTCTGTTTAGTCACAAAAAAAGGGGGACAATCTGCTAAACCAAATAACAAGAATGGTACATAGCGTAATACTGTATATATAAGTAAACCAAATATAAGATTCACAAGTGGCCACTCACACTCTTGTAGAAATTAGAAAGCCTTTAAAATGGTTTTCTTTTTCCGCATATATGCCCTTTTGAATTCAATTCTTCCATCTCTATTGGTATCTCTTGGAATATTTGTAAAGTGTGTGCTCAAGAGAGAAATATAACAAAATTGTAGTGCACATCCAAAAATAGAATAAAAAAGTATTTAATAACTTACATCAAGGTATAAAACAATTCTCACTGTCACCACTAGGGGTCCTACGCGTTTCGTCCGTATATAGGACTTCCTCAGGGACTTCAGTGACCCAGAAACAAATCAACAATAAAAAAACCTCCCCTCCTCCACCCTTTATACCTCCCCCCAATGTCCACATAATCTATTTAATTCAGGTGTTCCGATTTTCAGTCCGGCATTTCTGACGTTATTCTGTGTGTCTTTCAAACGTTTATGTGTTCCACCATGCATTCCATTGCCGAAACCGGACATTCGCCGTAATCAATCTGTTGTCTCTCTATGTTCCACTCGGGAACAAGAGCAATCAATATGTGTGAACCGGAGGTAGAGAAGAGAGGGGGAATGTTGTTAAATTATCTTGGATGGCACTACTCCACATTATTAAACACATATATTGAATGGCACTACTTTATATTATGTATTCAATTTACAAATATGTAAAACATATAAATATATGTTAATAAAGATAGAATTAAAAATAGAGTAGAAAACAAAACAGAAAAAAGGGGAAAAAATAAAAAATATAAAATAAAAATGAAAATATAAATGTACATAAGTAAAGTTTGAATTAAAAATAAAAATGAATATAAATAGAAATAAAAAAATAAAAAATATAAATGAATAAATAAATATTGAAAATAAAAAATAATAATAAAAAAATTTTTAATAAATAATAAATGATAAAAAAAAAAAAAAAATAGTCTGTGAATACGTCTGCTATGTCTCGGGGGTTAGTTTTGTTTGTTCCATCCGTGTGGCGAATCGAGGTGATATGCCCCATTTTCTTCCTAGGCCGCAGTACTCTGGCCAGCAGCGTGTCCATTTTGTTCGCATGTTCATAAAAATTCCTTTTAGACCATGTGATTGATTTGGCCGTCTCGTCTTAGAGTAAAGTGCGTATAGCTAATCGTATGTCTTCTAGCCGGCTTGCTACCGCATTATCCGGACTGTTTTGATATCGTTGCTCTGTCCGCTTAAGGTCTGTCAGTAGTCCCTCTAGTTCCTGAAACCTTGGTTTCTTCCTTCCTGTTGCTAGCTTGATTAGCAGTCCCCTTATCACTGCCTTGTGCGCAGCCCATGTTGTTGCTAGCTTAACATCTGGGGTAGTATTAGACTCAAAATAACCGCTCAGCTCTGTCCTAATTTGGTCCACTATGGTTTGCACATTTGTATTCCTAACACCATAGAATCCCTTTAAAACTTGCACTTGCTCTAAGTATTTGATAAATAATGAAAAAAAAACTTCTGCAATATTTTTTTTATTATCAATAGCATGTGGTACTGTAAACAATAGTGAAAATGCTTCAGGGTTTTCTAAATGATTTTTAAAGATTTTTTTATTTGAAGTTTAGTTTGTTTAATTTAGATAATATCATGATCACTGACTCAGCCATTCTGGACAGTGTTTCGAACACAGTATATTACAATATTACCAGCAAATGTTGCAGTAATTTATGATAATATGGCAACATCAACTGGCTCTCAATAGCCCATGTCATATACGCAAAATGACAAAAAACTGTCTCACTCTTACTGTCATTGTTTTGTCATCAGTGGCAGCTTTCACAATGGGTTAGTTCATCTCCCAGCTGTGAATAGGAAATTAAAATATTATAATGAGAAACACCCCTTTCCATATCTGGTTCACAGTCTTGTATAGCTCCCGAACCAGGTAGAAAAATAATAAACTACCATGGATGGTGACAAGGAAAAGAAGATTATAGCAAGTGGGGGACAATTTTATTTTTTGAAGGTCTTCCCCTGAAAAAAATAAAACCTATATACACATATATATATTTTTTTACTTTTTAAAATTTTTTTTTTTTTACAAGATTACCAATACTGAGTTAAGCACCTTCTGACGTGTGTAGTATCCACATCCTGTTTGTAGTGCTTCAAAAAAATGGAAAAGGAGGACCATTCTCCTGTCTTACAGAAATGTTTAGGCAAGGTTTCCCCTGCAGCAGCAACTAATGCCAAGACATCCCTCACTGAATATTCCTTAATTCCCTCTAGAGGCCGCTGTCCAATAGACGTTCATGCTTTGTACATTGCAAGGTTCATAATAGTATGGAAAAGAGCAGCTTCCTCTTTCTTCTAGCCATATGGTAAGACACAAAGCCTGTTCTTTTCTTGCATTCTTTAAGTACATTTGACTGGTCCTATAAATAGCACTTTTTGTTGTTGTTTTTTAGACAGAAGTGGTTTAAAAAAATAAATAAAAGTGCTATATTTTGGTATAAGGGTTACCCAAAGCACCATGACTAGTCCAGTGATTACAAATGGTTAGGGTGCTTGAAGTCTGCATGTGCTGTGTTTCAGTTTGAAACCCCCCAAAAAGCCATGCATTTAAAAAAAAAGGAAATAATTGACACATTTACAAAGCAGACAGACGTTTTCTTTTAATTTGATTTTCTGTTTAATTCAGGGAGGTCCAGAGTATCATGCACAAAAACAGGGTTTTCAAGTCCTGAGTTTGGATGGGATTTCCATTTTAAAACTTCAACTTTATCAGTCTATAAAAAGAGAGAGAAAAAAGTAAACTGTACATACAAAATAATATTGGAGCCTATTTCGTACCCTAACATAGGTTACTGTAAGCGTTGCCAACTGGCTAGTCTAGTTAACAGAACACTGATATCAGAATTTTTGGAAACGTTGCTCTTTGTGAGTCAAAATATCCACAATGGAAAAAAGTTAAATTAGAAAAGTTTTGTTAAAGTCTGCAATTCACTTCACATCACTCTTTTTTTTAAACAGTGTTTATTAATTTATACTTACACCGTTAGTTGTAAATTGAAAGGGTATATAAGTAAAGGGTATGTAAACATTACACTATCTGATCAAAATAAAATCATTAAAGAGTTGATTTTTTTCCAAGTATTTATAAGCAATTTACTATTTTTTTTGTTTCACATTTTCCCAAAACGTTTCATCAAACAAAACCTGTTCACAATCTAGTCAGTACAGGCCCTCCAGAATGTTCTAAACATATCGAACTAGACAAAACATATATATATATCTTTGCTGTAGGACATTCCATGTCAGATTAGAGTCTTGAAGCTTGCTATGATGAGGTATAATGTACAATGGATATTGGATTAAAAATCATCATTAATTTAAAGGGACACTATAGTCACCAGAACAACTACAGCTTAATGTAGTTAATGAGTATAATAGTTCCCATAGGCATTTTCATTTTCATGTAAACACTGCCTTTTTAGAGAAAAGGCAGTGTTTACATTGCCCCTAGGGACACCTCCAAGTGGCCACTCCTCAGATGGCCACTGGAGGGGCTTCCTGGCTCAGGGTTGCACCGTAAGCAGCTCTGCCGTTCAGCGTCCCACGCTCTGCATGGAGACGCTGAATTTTCCTCATAGAGATGCATTGATTCAATGCATCTCTGTGAGGAGGTGCTGATTGGCCAAAATGGTGTTTGGCCCCACCCCTTGCTTATTTTACCCAATCCACTGCTTTCCCCATGGGAAAGCATTGGATTGGCTAAAATAGGCAATTTTGATGATGTCACCAAGGTGGCGGGGCCAGCGCCAGCGGAACCGTGGAGAGCTGAAAATAAGGTGAGTTTTAACCCATTCTGAGGGGACTAAGGGGGAGGGTGCAAGCCACCTAAATGGTGGGTTTTCACTATAGGATCAGGAATATATGTTTGTGTTCCTGACCCTATAGTGATCATTATATAATATTTTCTGGAGTGTGATTTCTAAAGCCAGAACCTTTATCAATAAACAGTTAGGCTAGTCACTAGACTATAATCACTTTTAATGTTTTTCAAACATGGTTTAAATGTGCCCAAACCAATCTCATCCCATACCGCTCATATGCCATGGTCATCAAGTCCTTGATATTAACTTTTTAACTTACTTTTTTAGGTTTATGGCAGAAAAAGAAGTCACATGAACAATCCTGTCTTCCAAAGAGGTTATCGGAATTCACAGTTTGTTTTAATCCTCCTGTAAAGTAAAGTAAAATATAAAAACACTGAATTTACTTGGAACTATATCATACTGTCACGGAATGATGGTAAAATGTGTTCTACACTTTTCTAAAAGACCAAACATTTGTCTTTTTTCTTAATGATAGAAAGGTTGAAATGTTTTCCTCTCTCTCTTAACATCCTGGGGTCTCAAACGCCCCAGTATGTATTATATTTACCTTTTTAATTTTAATTCCAAATTGTTCTCTGTTGCTACACTAAAAGCCTTAGTTTTACTTGCGCCACCTGCCTAGTGAGACCTTAAAAGAATATTCCAGCGTTATAAATATATATTTTTATAATGCTCGAGTGTTATAAAAAGAGACTTCCTAATTCCCTCACCTGGCATGGGTAGTGCAATGGAGTTGAGCAAAAATAAATCACAGAAAGGGAAGAACCGTATGTGCAAATAAGTGTTTTTATTCTACAGTCAGAAAATGATCCTAATTTCTAAACTCCCCCCTCAAATTGGGTAGTTTAATTCCATATTTTTGAACAGAGTTGCAGATAAAAAGAAAACAAGTCTATTTAGGGGCGGAGCCTAGCACCGGACCGGAGCGGTCGCACATTGCCGGAGCTCCGAGCTACCGCACGGCAATCCAGCCACATCGGGGGCATCCCGCACTAATCCCGGCCACATAATCAGCCACAGCCCGCAGGGACCCTCGCTGAAACCGCCGATGCCGTTTCTCCTGACGCCCGGCTCGAAAAATAGACGCCGAGGCGGCAAGGCCTACCGGGCAGGGAGGCAACCTCAACCCAGCACGGGAGAACACTGGCCCTGGAGTGTCCCAGAATTTGAGGACTGGTACCCCAGCACACACAGCTCAGGTGAGATGGGGCGCAGAACACAGAAACTGCCCCAAAACGCCCCAAAACCGCAGCGCGACATAGGCCAAATGTTACAGGCCCCAAGCGCAGTAAAGGCACAGACCCCCCGTGAAACCTCCCCAGCACCATCAGAGGAGGAAGAATCACTAGACAGCCCACACCTCAATCCCCAACACCCCACACACACGTGGATGCCAGAAGCCAGCGCACCGGCCTCCAAACAAGACATACAGGCTATGCTGACAGGCCTGCAGCAGAACTTAAGACAAATGTGGGAAGCGGACCTGGCAGTGCTTAAACTAGACGTGCACGCCGTGTCCACGCGCACTCAAGCGGTAGAAGAGGAGGTAAAGGGACTAAGAGGGAACTACCAGGAATTGGGAGAGACGGTGCGACACCTTCAAGCTGCACAAGCAACAATGTCCAGGCAAGTTACTCTCCTAGATGATAGGGGGCGCCGAAAGAACATAAAAATCCGAGGGGTACCTGAATCGATACCGCTGGAAGAGTTGCCACATTTCATCAGACGCCTTGTGGCCACACTCCTGCCAACTAGACAATCTAAAACGTTCCAGTTCGACGGGGTTTACAGGATAGCCAAATCCCCACAAGCACCCAACTCAGCCCCAAGGGACATAATCTTGAGATGCCAATCAATGTTGGACAAACTGGGGCTAATGGCGGCTATGCAAGGGAAAACACCTCTTGACTTTGAAGACAGCAAACTCTCCTTCTTTCAGGACTTGAGCAGGGCCACACTGATGTGGCGCAAAAGTATGCAACCTATCACCAAACAACTCCAAGCCGCAGGAATAGCCTATAGATGGGCAACACCAGGAACTCTCTGGGTCACTAAAGATGACAAGCACTACAGAGCTACCGACCACGCAGAGGGCCCGGCACTGATGACCGCATTGGGAATATCGAACCTCGCAGCGACCTCTATGACACAGCCGGCTCAACGACCAGGGACAACGAGCACAGATTCATCCGCAACTCCTGGAATAAGCAGAGGACCGAAAACCAAAACCTGAACGAACTGCCTCACCGACGGCCTCATAGGCCTTAGTTTCACTAGTTTAAATATTTTAAGTTGATACATCGGTTCATTTAAGTTAAATGTAGTTCTCTCACATTCTGACGGCTATAACAGTGCTAAAGTGGCCCACCAGAGCCGCGCACACTAGCTCCGATAACAATCCCCCCCCCCCTCCCTTGGGTTAATGGGAAACGACATCAAAGGCGACATAGTAATCCTGACTGGAATCAGGCTCATCGCGAGGTCTGATGCCCCAAGGGCACAACTTAATCCGGTCACACTACGGCGACCTATGTATATACATAGACACGATTTGTAGTTACCACTAGGGCCACAAAGACACCCTGAGCACCACACACATGGGCACCCACCAATAGCTACGACCAGGGAAAAGCAAAAGAGGAGCGGACATAGTCCTAGACAGGCACCATTAGAGGGACCCCGTAACTACCGCAATCCGCATCCTTACCCAAACTCAAAAGGGTCAAGAGACCTACCCAACACCCATAACTATAGCCGCACGACCTAGAATTGGGACCAACCACTGGACCTAGCAGTAAATGCCTTTCCCCCCCCCACCTACGACTCCACAGACCTTAGGGTGTCTTAGGCAGACAGAAGTCTTCCACCCCTACAGTTATTAGATTTTAAAACCTCACTGTAACAATGTGACCTATTGTAAATATAAAATGTGTGTGAATAGCACACAACAATGCCTTGTATTTGATATGTACTGATTCTAATCGATGTGTCGAGGCTGTTGTGGCCAACTTCCTGAATATGTTATCTTTCCACATGAAAAATAAAGATTTAAAAAAAAGTCTATTTAAAGTATTTGCAGTACAGCTACTAAATATAGTATTTTGTGCACCCTGGCCTCTTCCCTATGTACCATACGGTACCATGGATACCAACGAGGATAGGCAAATGGGTCTGAATCGTGAGTGAGTTAAAAGTCCTGAGTGTTCCATATTAGCTTTTATATTGGGCCAGTAACTATCTTTATAGATAGTGATTATTACACATGGAGATTCATTTTGGGCCAAATTTTCTTTTCTTCCAAATTTGTGCCAATCACGTGAGCCAAAATGTACCAGAATCATGAGCCAATCAAAATGCAGTGTTTAAGCATGTCCATTTCGGTTCGGGATTCTTAATTACCCAGATGAAGACAAAAAGAGAGATGGTTGATGGGAAAGAATATGATTGATGGATATTGGACAGGCACTAATTGTTGAAAATTATTCACAGGTCAATTGAGAAGTGAGCAAAAAAGAGAAAAAAAAATGGAGGAGCAGTAAAACCAATCTATAGTTATATAGTACATATTTAAAAAATTTATAATATATAAATATAGATTTTGTACTACTTCTTCTGTTTTTCCCTCTATTGGTTACTTTTTTTTAAACAGTGAACGAAATGGCGGTAAATTGTTCCTATCTGAATACTGCAAAATATATACATAATATATTATCTACAGATTTTGCAGCAGACTAAATGGCTCATTTCCACACCCTTTTTGTTATTCTGATTTAGTTCCCAAATTGGTATCTCGGTTTTGAAATTCTGCTGAGTTGAACTGACATTTGGTTGAATTTCGGGAGTTCTTTTTTTTTGTGGAAAAATGATTCTGCCAAACAAAATTTTGGTCCCCATGCACAAATTTAGTGATTATTATTAGTGAGGTTAACAGTCTTTGTTTTGCTATTCAATTAAAAAATAACATTTACACAAGATGCTGCTTCGAAAACATTAGTCATGTTTCAAAGTTTCAGTACCTGTTAACAGACTGATAACAAGTCCAACGATCAGCGTTACAAGGGTTCCCAAAATGCTAAAGTATAAATAGGACAACGAATACCAGTAGTCAGCAATTGCAGGTCTGTAATGGAAAAATTCAAGAGTGTTAGAATGTTACAGATTGCGTGAAATTTAATAGATGGAAAGTGTCCTAATGATCTCTGTTCCTGTATCTGTGTCATATGCATAACAATAACTATGTGCTTCATTTTCCCTTTGTAAAGAATGGAGGAATATGTTACTTCCCCCTATACAAGATTATTTGTTGCTGGATGAGTTAAATCTTTATGAAATGCTCATAATGACTGCTTCTGAATTTCACTGAAATTTCCAGACCAGTCAAAAGATATTATAAGACAACACAGGGACTACTTTGTCCTATGTATATTTCCAATGCTTGATAACATTTGGAGAATTTTAATGAAGCCCTCAGCCATCACGCGTTTGGTCACAAATCACATGAGCTTTTTCCAATCAGTGTCTAAGTATATAGTGTTATTTTATTAAATTGGTCACTGATTTATAACACAATCTTGGTATTTTTTTTGGTGACTTGTTTGTTATACTTTTTTCATCATATCACAGCATTTCCCCATCCTAAGAAACACAATTACAAATTATTTATAATGTATTAGAATATCTTATGCTAAAAGGTTTGTTTAGATTGAAATAGAAAGCTACCTCTTTTATTATATATGTGTTCTTCTAGAAGAGAGTAGAACTTTCCCCCACCTGTCATTGACGTCTGGTGGCATGAGAGTAGTCAACATCGTCATTTCAGTCGTTGATGTCCAGTTTGCCTCCATGGTGACATTACATCCATCAGTAAATAGTGGTAACGGTCGGCTTTTTAGTGGTAATGGAGGGTAAATCTGTGCTCCTATTCCAGCCCATAGTGACATACTAAATCCAACAAGAAGTCCTCCGACGGCACCCTTAAAAATGAATGGTTATATTAGCTACATTATATGTCTTTATTTGTCCAGTTGCATAATGATGGGGCTTGACCACTATGGTGTTTATTTGAAAGGGAGCTGCACATTTTAGGCCAAACTGCAGAACCTCTGAAAACCAGCTCAACTCATTTGGCATAGATTGGGCATCTAAGCATAGGGTGTGAGGCAAAAGCAAGTATTCCAGTGCTTGAACGTTAGGTTATTAGAAATTCATCCTCCTCTGCATTTTGTACCAATGATTCATTCAGAGCTGAATTACCCATAATGCTCCCCCTGGGGCCCTCTCTGGGCTGGCAGGGAGATCAATAGATGCTTATCCCTGCACACCTTTACTTCATTGAAGGAGCATTGGGGTGTGCACCTCTGTTGGGTGCTGGTCACTTACAGCGGAGGAAAGTGTTCTTTATATCCATAACGGTGTGGAATTCTCTACCAAAGTTGTTGTCTTATCAAATTCTGTAGATATTTTTTTTTTTTTTAAGTACTAGATTTTTTTTTCTTTTTTGGAAAAACAAAATATTCAAGGATGTAATTAACAATATTTAACATGCATATGAACAGGTTGTTGATATGTACCCGATTAAGGTGCAGACCACAAAACTCTCTCACCGGAAAACCAGGGATACTACACAGCTGACCCTCCTGCCAAAAGGTAATCAGGAGGGGGCAAAAAACTTACCACCCCAACACTCAGACACCGCACAACACAAACTCCCACATACATACAATACTCAAACACATTAGATGGACACAGGTGGAAGCAGTACCGCTTGTGTCCCCCTCCCAATCTATCAGTATAATCATAATAGATGGTTTAAAAGTACAAATTTAAGCTGCAGTATTAACAATCCAATATGAAACAATAGTGCAGCAAAATATTTACAAAATCACAAATTTATGAGAGATTAATAAATATCATAAAAATAATATAATAATATTATGATATATATAATAATAATAGTGATCCTAAAATGTGAGAAAATTATCATGGGCAAACACTGAATGCTAGATATTAAAAATGAGAAGTTATCTCAAGCCATTCTAAAAATATATTCTTTAGGGGACAGAAAACTATTATTTAGAGATCTATGTTTGTAGGTACGTGAATCTAGTGATTTCTATATTCCTACTAATGGTCATATCAACAAGTCCAGCATAATTGATTGATACGTCTACAAAATACAGAGCTTCCGAAAGCCATATTACATACCACTGAATTAGCACAAGGGAAAAACATCCCTAGGGAAAAAAGTCCAAGAAGAGGTCCTCCCACCATGGCAAATATTGATAAAGCTGCCTTTATTGAAAATAAAATGAGAATATTGACAGTGTAAATACTTGACAGATACGCATGAAACAGGCAAATCAAATATAAGCAGGATATGAGTTAGGTAACATAAAGTTACAAATGGATATTGGGTAATAGTATTTGCCTTAAAAATATTATGTACTGGATCTCCCAACTAACTATTCCTAAGCCTAATGTATGGGGTAGTAAAAAAGGATGTGAACTGAGTGATATAGACCCGCTCACATAAACCCGGCGGAGAGCTAAATAAACAATAAGGGAGTAGGATTAAGAAATAGGATAAGGGAGCAGGATATACTAGAAAAGATAACAGTATGCACAATAGTGCAATAAACCCAAAAAAGAGAAAATAAGGGACGATAATGGATGCACTCACATGGAGTAGAGCCTAACGAGGATAGTCTCAAGTCACACCAATGGTGGTAAATTATGACAATACCAGGGACTCTTCTATATTCAGTGCAGGAGACAAAGCAAAAAGGATCACCACTTCTAGTGTAAAACCTTTATACAGTGTCGTAGTAGTTATAGGATATAGGTAACTGCTCACCTTATATAAAGCCTAAAATACTTGGCTTTTAGTGTGATAGCGTATGCACCAATAGAGGGGGCATTACTCCATGTGAGCACATCCATTACCCACCATTTCTAGTGCTGCACTAGGTTTATGTGAGCGGTCTGTATCACTCAGTACACCTCCTTTTTTACTGCAAGTATATGTGCCAAGTGTGAGCTCATTAGCACGCGTGTCATAGCTTTATATAATAGACTTCCATTATTTACATTATTAACGCCTTTATTTGCACAGAGCACGTTCTAATGCTGTCCATTCTAATGCTGATAATGTGCAGCACATAGCACTGTATCTTGCTCTATAATATTAAGTCACAAACATTATTCCTCTGTATTGCCTAAGTTCTAAGATATGATAAGACGAAGTAAATTCAGCTATGTAACTGTAAATATGTAAAACGCAACGTTTTATCATCCCTATCAACCAATATGTTGTCACTGAAGTATAAATGCATGAAAAACATTTTTATTTTGGGTGTAGATTTAATCATAAAAGATTCATAGTAAATGTATTTTTACACTTGCTAAATAGGGACAATATTTTTAAATGGGGCCTACAACTTCAATGCCCTCATAAACCATTATCCCTCCACCAATTTCAATTAATAATAAAAGGCATTAAAAATAATATCCAAGATACCTGAATCACGCTTCCCATATATGATGCCACAGCTGCCATAGCAATGCAAAGTATACCGTAACCAGCACCTTGTTCATAAAACAGAACATACTGGTTACTATATAATATTATAGTCTATAATGTTATATTCAGTTACAGAGCTGCTACACTCTCAGGAAGTCAAAGAGGTTTTCAGATTTCAGCCCAAAGTAGCCGAACTGGAAACGTAGTTGGCTGGCTTAGATAATTTGTTACAATTCAGCTATTTTGACCTTACATTTGAAATTTACTTAGAATTCTCACATTAGTGTGTAACCCTCTTAAAATCAGTTTCTTATTAATCAGAATTGCTGTGATGTGATTTTTAAAACTTGACAAATTACTTTGCCAACTTGGTTAAAACACTTAAATCACCAATGGAAATCATTGATATTACAGAAGGTTAAGGAAATAATCTATAAATAATTAGGTACATTTTATGTATTCATTTATCTTAATTGTTTAAGTAAGAAAAATAATTGCCTACATTGAAACCAGTGTTAAAGGTTTGAGTAGTAAATGCCTGTGGACAGACTCTTTGATGTATTATTCGTATCATAAATAATCACTGTTTACTAGAACTATTACGATCATCACTGTTTGCATGTAACACGTTTATTTCCACTTGAACTGTACAATTATATCTACTTTAGCAATTGACAAATTCATCGTCATTGAAAATAATTTTGTTCTACTGGGCTTTGGCATTCGTTTTTGTCAGAATTTCGCAAATTCATCCATTTGTCCAAAAGACAAATGTACATATACAAATGAAAACAAATGAAATGAAGAACTAATTTCTTGTTGGATGAAATTTCTTCCATGTAATTCATTCTTTGTTCATTTTTATTAAAATTAGTGAGCTACTGGCTAGCAACTCCCTCCTTGTAATATTTAAACATAGTAGTGGCGGAGAGCTTTCTAAATCACCCCATGCCCCTACTCATCCTTAGCCCAATGGGAGTCAACCCCTATATTAGTATAAGAAAGTTTAAATCCTCCTTCCAGCTCCACTGTGCCACAAGTAGGGGGCATGTCTACCAATAACAGGGGACCTAACACTGGTTCCTCATGCCACCATGTTGGGGCACCTAATTAATTAACAAATGGGGGACACTATTTTGGAGCTATTGAAATAAATGGTGAGGGACCTAATTGCCACAGGTGAGGGCTATTATATAAAATGAACAGGGGGAAATTGTGTACCCCCAGCCACCACTGATTGACGGCAGATTGGTGGCCCTAAATAAAAAAAGGAGGGGTGGATCTATTGCCATTGACTGTGGTGGCTGAAAATAAAAAATACCCCCCCATAAAAAAATAACGCCCTACCCTAATAATAGTGACAGGGAAAATAAAAAAAATCATACTTACCATTAGATGGTCTTCTATTTTTTCCATCTTCTTTTCTTCAGCCACAAAAAAGGCCAAGTAAAAATACATAACATTGTATAGCAACTATTAAAATATGAAAAGGACCTGATTGCAAAAACAGAACACTTTAGAAAAAAAATAATTAATCCATCTTCACCCCATGCGGTCTCTGTGCAGACCAAACTCGCAGTGAAGCGAGCCTTTCCCATGCTATGCAATTTGAGTCAGAGCACTCTGATTGTTCGGCTAGGTCCCTCTCCATTTATTTTAATAGCCCCACTAGCAGAGCATGCAGAGACACTGCTCATTTTATTTAATAGCCCTCACCCGCTGGCCATGGTTGGGGGATGGAGGAGGACACTAACCTTCTGTTTATTTTTATAGCCCCCTACTTGCAGGGCACGTGGATACACTATGCACCCCTCCCCCCCCCATATTAATTCAGGGGCAGGAGGGAGAATTTAACCTCCATTATTTACTAATACTAAGTATTTTTATGGAGTTTTAGTAAGGGTGTCTGAAAGACCAAAATTACAAAGAGGAAGGGCTTTTCGTAAGTTTGTTTTTTTAGTTTAGTAGATGGGATTGCCATAATAATGCCAAAAAGGAGCTATCTACTAAACAACTCCATAATCTGTCACCCTTAAATATGGCATCTCACAAGGGTACCAATTTAGTGAGTTATCTACTAAACGTCTCCAAGATGTAGTTGCAGCCCACAGCCCAGATCATAATTTAATTAATCTGAATGAAATTTGAAATTAAAATAATGTCCGTATTTCGTCCGAGAATAAATGCACAAGAGACCTGCAGCGTTTGCGAGATTTCTTTTTTTTTTTATATATATATATATATCCCCAATTAAGTATAATGCATATTTAAATACATGCATATTTTCATTTAGGACATATCTACCAAACAGTGTTTTATTATTCGGGGCAGTAGAGTGTCCCTCTAATGTGGTAGAATGCAAGCTGTGTTATTCACTGAAGTGACAATTCAACATGAATCTTAAATCCAAGGTAAAATTTGCAACTTACTCAATCCTTTGGAAATCCATGACAACTTCTTCTCAGAGAGATTTGTATAAGGCTTTATAAGGTCTTCCACGGTTACAGCAGCTAACGCATTAATACTAGATGACACAGTGCTAGTAAAAAAATAAGTTTCTAAGTTAATAAAGACCTTGTATTGTTGCATGCAAAAAAACAAAAACATTAAAAAAAAATAACAAGATGTCAAAGAGCAGATTAAATAATAAGTTCAGATCACAAATTGGGTCACAATAAAAAAGGTATTGCTTAGTATGAGCGATGGGAGAGAGAGACATTACCTTTTTCACCATCCTTTCTATTTGTATATCAGTAATAGAAGAGGAGCTGAGTTAGCCTTCACAGAGGCAAAAGTTAAATAAAAAAAGCTGTGGCCTCGTACTCCTAGCAATCCCAGACAGTCTGGGAGTCCTGGGACATGTATGTCTTCAGGCTGCCCAAGTATTTTTGGATCCTAAACTCTATCTCTAATCCTTGCACTACACCAAACCCCTTACAAAAAATATATAATATAAGTAATATAAAAAAAGTAATATAAAAGATATTTTTGCAGATATCTCAGTGTTCTTTGGGCTTGTGGATGATAGGGGCCTAAGAACTTTCGAGTTACCGTATGTACATAAGCTCTAGACACTGAAGTGCATGCAAATTACAGAATTTCTTTGTAAGATGATGGAACCACCATAACTATGTCGCCCACATCATTTTACAGCTGGTCAGAGGAAAAAAAATAGTTTTGATTGATTTACCTTAGCGTTCCACTGTAAGCACAAGCTACAAAGAGCCCTGGTATTCCTGGGTAGTCCTTGAGAATCAGCAATACCAAAAAGGGCATGAGCTGCAAAAAATTACATTGCAGTTATTTTATACTAAATGATAACTTATAAAACATATACAGGGTTATTCACTAAAGTGAGAATTTAAGGTGAATTTCAAATATAAGGTCAAAATAGCCAAACTGGAAAAAAAATTCCAAGTCCGCTATGCTTTCAGTTTGGCTACTTGGGCCTTAAATTTGAAATTCACCTTAAAGGAACACTATAGAGTCAGAAACACAAACATGTATTCCTGACCCTATAGTGTTAAAACCACCATCTAGCTTCCCCTGGTTTCCCATTGCTTACCTAAATATAGTAAAATCTTACTTGTATTCAAATCAGCAGCTGCTGCCTCTGCCCTTCAACTGCCTGCTGTCTGCTGACATCATCAGAAGTGATTATGTGAGCCAATCACTATGCTTTCTGATAGGATTGGCTGAGACTGTTAAGGAGGCAGATCAGTGGTAGAGTCAGCACAAATCAAACACAGCCCTGGCCAATCGGTTGTAATGTAAAAAAAGAAAATTTCCAGGCACTCTAATGTTAAAGCTGCAGGCAGTTTTTAATGGAACAGAAAGAGCAGCAACGTTTCGACCTTCACAGAGGTTAGTTAGCTTGAAATAGACCTCTATGAAAGTCGAAACGTTCCTGCTCTTTCTGTTCCATTAAAATCTGCCTGCGGCTGTAACGCTAGAGTGCCTGGAAATTTATTTTTTTGCCTTGACGTGTTGGGATTGCTGGTCCCGTTCCGGAGCACTGGTGGCTGCTGGGATTGAGTGTGGTTCCTACAATCATCTTTGTAATGTAGGCTGTAATGTAAACACTGCATTTTCTCTGAAAAGACAGTGTTTACTTCAAAAAGCCTGAATGGAATAATTCTACTTACCAGAACAAATACTATAAGCTGTAGTTGTTCTGGTGATTATAGTGTCCCTTAAAATTCTCGCTTTTGTGAATAACCCTGATAATACTGGAGGTAACATTTTATTTTACATTATGATTTTTTTTTTATGTGAAACTTTTAGCTATTGACTATTCTCTACTATGACATCAAGATACTTTTTCCACTTATTTCCATTTATTTAGATTACAAACCTGATCTGGAGCAGATATTTTTTTCGATGTCCATGGGTCACAATCTTTAAATACTGAATAGAGGATGAGGCCGGATAGAACTGCACAGGCTAAGATGGCCCACAGACCTATAAGATTTAAGTAAAGTGACCTAGGAAGAGAAACAAAGAGGAACATGCGAATTCTTCAGCTGATACATGATATATTCCGAGGATTTGAAACCAGCTAATTCTTCAGCTGAGACACAATATATTCTAAGGAGTTTAAAGGATTGAAAACTGCTTGTGTTTTGTGGTGTCGTATGTATTTTCTGTTATGCAATCCAGTAGATTAGGTTATTATATATAATGATGCTGGTTAGGCAAGTCAAATCTTCTTTGACCAAAATAAATTGTGCCACGTTGCTTTACTTGCTTTTTTTTTTTTACTTATATACAGCTTTATACAACAAACATGTTTTAACAAGTGCAAATTACACTTTCAATTGCAAGTACCTAGACTTAGTGCAAACTGGGGACATTCTGGGTGTGTTCTATTGAGAATTCAATATCACTGGTAATTGTTTGAAAACATATATATGGTGACACTAGCTTCATGTTGAACATGTTTTATAAATGCTAAATGATATCTATGGACAATTGTTCTCAAAAACAGCTATTTGAAGTAATACTGTCAGTATACAGGTGACGAAAACAGATCTGCCAAATCAATGTTTCTTTCTTTTTTACACTAGTAATACCTGTAGCCTGGTGTTTATTTATCTACTCAACCTTATTAAGCAGGTTATCCCTTAATAAAACAAACTCATCAGATTTCTGCAGTTACCTGTTAAACTAATTATAATCTCCCATTTCAGTGATGTGAGCAAAACACTGCATGCAATTTATGATATATCTTTGTGTCACTTAAGATTACAGGGAGGTATGAATCACCACAAATTGAAAAAAAAACCGTCTAATTTTTTTTAATTTGCATTTTAACTATCAAAACTCGGTCAGGTGAAAAATATAACTACACTATTGTGATAAACCGTGAAAAATGAGTATGGGAAGTGGTACGTGCAAGAAACAACATGTTAAAAGAGCACATTACCTGTTGTTCTTAATGTGAGATCAACTAATGTGCTAAAATATATTTGAAAATGACATTTACTAACATCTCTGTATTTGATGAATAAACAACTATTAGCACTAAACTAAAAGCACATTTATAAGCCAAAGCTTTTGCACTACACCCATACCCCTTTAACCTCCTTAATATGCCCTCCTCCATTCTTTAGGAAGTAGTTGGTGTGGAATGAGGAAGGCAAAATACAATTGTAAAATGTGTGTGTCAATGGACATCTGCTAGTGTGTTTCTAAAGATGTGTGCTAATACTAATGTGTGACGATGAATTTGTCCTGTAGATATGTAAGAGTATGTGTCTACAAATGTCTGCTAGCACGGGTCTATGTTTGTCTGTGTCTTCTATGTATGTGTGCTGTGCACCTATCTATAGGTGCTACTTTGCTATTGTGTTCTAGCTAGTGTGTGTCTATATATGTTTATAAATAGGTTGCCATGAGTGGCAAGTTATGTATGCACAAGTGGCTACCTATGTATAGCTAAGATATGTATATGTAAAACTAATTCTTTATATAATTTGGGATGGGAAGGCTGAGAAAATGTTCTCGGTCAGGGCATGACAAATTAGAAGGGTAGTTTTGCCAATAATGCTTTGCAGTTAATATTCATTTTTTTTACATGTGATGCTTGTATAAATAATATATATTGTATCAACATCTTCCATTATTTTATTATTGTTCTACACCTGTAAGCATAATTTAAAATCACGAGATTGAATCCCAAATTGTGCTATCAGAATGTTATATTATCTATCACTGCTGTATTAAACCGGAGGCCATTCAGCCTGAATAAGTTAAATTGTGAGTAAAAAGGGAAAGGCTAATGAACACAAAACTCACTAAAAGTTTGACTTGGCCATTGCTCGGCTTAAAATGATGTTTCTCGTGGTTACAGTACATTAACTAATAAACAGGAACATACTCTAGAACAGAAAACAATTTACAAACAAATGAATTTATTATAAAACAAATAAAACCTGCATTAAAATTCCATATATATATATACACCCCAAAGATACCCATTATGAAATTACATAATGTCATTAAAATGCTTCCCAATTGAGAGCCCTGTAGAGCTATAATAATAAAATCAATCAACATTCAGGCACACATCTAGAATATACATAATGTAAACAACTGCAAAAATTAGCTGCATGAAATACAGTTTATTCTTTAACCCCTTAAGGACCAAACTTCTGGAACTAAAGGGAATCATGACGTCACACATCATGTGTCCTTAAGGGGTTAAACTATGAACTGGAATACATTTAAAAATGTGAATGTACTATTTCAGGCTAAAATAGCTTTGACTGAAGCTAAGTTACAGATTTCTTGAATTTTAGAAATTTTCGAAAATATATAGATTGTATAATAAATCCCACAGGTTATGGTCAAACTCATATTTGATTTTGATATACTTAAGCAGGCGTACTCTGACGCAGTGGAGCATAGAACATTTTGTGATAAGATCTCCATTTTCTAAATCTTAAATCAGTTGGTTTTTATGGAGAGTCCTAAAATTATTAGCTTGTTTAACACAAAAGACATATGCACAATTTAAAATTTTTTTTTTTTTTATAAGTGATTCCCAAAACATATTTTCAGAGTATTACTTACAATTTGGCTTGAAATCTAGATTTACAGGCAATGTATCGTTGCACTTGAGACTGGTTAATACCATAGATACCGGTCCATAGAAATGTTCCTCCAACCACAATTGTCCAAAATGTGTGTCTTCTCAAGGGGTCAGGATCAAAGCTAGTTGAGATAATGACAATATGTCACACTCACTCAAGCTCAATAAAATCATAAAATGTGAATTATTTTTTACTGCGGGACATTATATTTCCAGCACGAAATATCATACATGTATATCATACATGTATAAATGCACTAAAAAACATAACAGTAAAATGTGTATTATGGAAGAATAACACCATTGATTGGTAATGGAGACACAAGAATAAAAAAAAAGATCGCCAAGATGGCATTATTTTCCCTGAATTCACATTTTCATTTTGTATCTGTATTACTACATTGCTATCTGGCATAAATTCAACATTAGACATTGAGTGTGAGCCCAATATAAATAAGGAAATTAGATGTAACGGGTTTAAAGACAATACATTTTGTGTAAATCTGTACTGGGTTAATAAGAAACAAAAAACACTGCCAATACTCCATCAGACATACCAGGCAATGGCGTATTTTTTATTCTTAAAGGAACACTATAGTCACCTAAATTACTTTAGATAAATAAAGCAGTTTTAGTGTATAGATCATTACCCTGCAATTTCACTGCTCTATTCACTGTCATTTAGGAGTTAAATCACTTTGTTTCTGTTTATGCAGCCCTAGCCACACCTCCCCTGCCTATGATTGACAGAGCCTGCATGAAAAAAAAAACTGGTTTCACTTTCAAACAGATGTAATTTACCTTAAATAATTGTATCTCAATCTCTAAATTGAATCACATACAGGAGGCTCTTGCAGGGTCTAGCAAGCTATTAACATAGCAGGGGATAAGAAAATCTTAATTAAACAGAACTTGCAATAAAGAAAGCCTAAATAGGGCTCTCTTTACAGGAAGTGTTTATGGAAGGCTGTGCAAGTCACATGCAGGGAGGTGTGACTAGGGTTCATAAACAAAGGGATTTAACTCCTAAATGGCAGAGGATTGAGCAGTGAGGCTGCAGGGGCATGTTCTATACACCAAAACTGCTTCATTAAGCTAAAGTTGTTCAGGTGACTATAGTGTCCCTTTAATTAATGAAATCACTTGACACATTTGCTAAAGCCATCTAAAATTCCTTGTAGGTTAAGATACTTACTCCCAGAAGTTTAGTCTCCCTCCATTGTAGGAATCCTCAATGATCTTCTGAATTCCGCCCTGTACCACCACACCTCGGATTATGACAGATATGAAACCTGCCAGCATAATAAAAATCTGGAATGCATCTGTCCAGATCACTGCTTTTATCCCACCCTAAACAAACAAATCGGTCATAGTCATATCTTTTTCACCCTTTAAATGAGCAGTGTCTACCATAAAGTTGAAAGAAAATTAATTACTACAATGTACCCCTGCATAACATAACATTATAGATTCGTTGTATGTGTGTAAGTATGTGCTAGCCCTAATTGATAATATTATATCTGGCTGAATTATTATTATTTTTTTTTTTTGTTCTCAACTGCTCCAGTTTAAGTATTGAGATTAAGAGTTTGTTTAACTAACCAGGAACTGTTGAAAATTGATTTTAAAAAAAGTGCAAATTTTAAGTAGATCATCTGAGCTGGTTTTACTGTTTGCCTATTTTGGTCTAAAATTAGAGATTTCTTTTCAATTTTCTAAAATTCCTATTTTTGCAACCTACAAGATTTCTCATAATAATTCACATTTCCGTTATTTTTTATATATACATGACATTGTATACATGTATTGTTCTTTGTATACCGATGATTAATGAGACAGTGAAATGTATATAAAATAATATCGCTAATGATTTTTTTTACATAGTTATAAAATATTTTGACATTGCTCACTTTTATTGCTCCAGTAAGTCCGGATTGGCTAAAACATCTAGCATGCAATCAGAATGTAATTTTGATTTCAAGTCAATCACTTCAAGTCAATTGTTCTATTGCATAGAATGCTGTATATTCTTTACATATATATTGCATTCATCTCAGTTTAAGATTCCATATGAAATGAAAGCAATGTATTGCAAGATATTACTGATTCTTTAAGAACATTATCTTATATTTTGGTCTATAAAAGTAAGCAAAATTAAGAAGATCACATGATATAAAGCTGTGTAATATACCAGGGCACAGTAGAAAGTACAGACTAATCCAGTTGCCACCATTGCACCCCAAAGGTTAAATCCTGAAACTATAATGAAAAACAAGAAAAGAAAATTACCAAAAGATAATACGCTATTAGTATTTTCAACTCAAGTTACTGTTTAGTAAAAATAGCCAAATATGAATTTAAAAGTTTTACTAACCTTGGTTGAGTGCAAGTGCAGGAGCATATATGACAATTCCAGTATACAAAACCTGGAAAAATTTAACAAATTAACCATTTCACACATAAATAAATCCAATTATACTAAATAGAAAGACGAGAAGAAATTGAGGGAGCATAGAGAAGATTTGAAACTTGGTACAGTGGTAGAAAATTAAATGACAAAGTAAAACAGATTTGGAGGAACATAGAGTGACATGGACTGACAGTAAGCTGGAGTGAACGGAGCTGAGACTAGAAGACAATATCGAAGAGAAAGTGGGCATGGAAATGAATAAAAGAGAGAGAGCTGCTGATGTCTAATCATTAATATGGGAAGGTTGTAGGCAGTTTGGTTATTTAATTTACATCATATGGGATGTGTGAGGCTGAATTAAAGTATTAGTATGGTAGAGAATGGACAGATCTGTTCAAAGTGAATACAAAAGGGTCTAACAATTATCTCATAAAGGTGTCAAAACTCCAAGTTTGTTGGGCCAACACAGACGGAAACAACATTTCCCATAAAAGGGTCTCTCTGATTCACTGGGCATAGACAACTCCCTCCATGGTTCTATCTGGGTATTAACTGAACAACTGTATATACCAAAAAATACTTTATTATGGTTACCACCTAATTTGAGATCATCTCAGACACTCCAATTGTAGCCAATTTACTCGATCGCTCTACTACAAAGTGCCATTTTTTAATGCTGCTATTGTTAACTACGAACCACATTCCTTTTCATCCTGACTTAATGGGACAGAGGTTGGAATTGGGAAGTACGGGATTTTATCCGATGCTCATGATAAGAGGTATACCTCTAATAGTAATAGTCCTGTCCAGGTTGGCAGGGAAAATCAAGAAAGTCCCTTTGGATCCAGGACACTTGGTATAGTTGTTTTATTGATTAATAATTAGGTTGTGCTAATAATCCTCATCAGACCAGAGAGTCAAATGCAAAACAGTTGTAATTATTTGCCTGTGTTTATACTTTTGCAATTTATTATAACATGCCTTTTTTGAAAAAATTTTATTCAATTTTCAATTCACTTGTTTTATTTAACACATTAAGAAATAGTGGGGGAAAAAAACAAACCAAAATTTGTTTTTCCCACATTAAGAAATGGTGTTTCATTGTTTTCATGTAACTACAATTTAATCACGTTGAATTAAACACAATAAAAAATATTGCACATTTGCACGTTGTATTTGGTACTTACCATTTCAATAATAAAAATGACTGTCCCAAGGATGCGCACAAATTTGTTAAAGCGAATTTCAAGATACTGTGAAATACAAAATACAATAAAATACATATGTATATAGATCACATTTACTAAATAGATCATATTTACTAAAGATGTATAAATGGGTACAAATATCACAATGAAGGCCAGAGTATTTGTGACTTTTATTCGGAGACAACAGACACTTATTAATACACATCTTTTACACAATGGATACTTTGTTAATGGGACACTCCAGACATCAAAGCCACAATTCATTATTTGTGTGCAGTTATTTACCTTCTCTATAGAGTGGTATTAATCTCTCCCACAATAGTACCATTTACAAAATCCCTTCATAAAAACAATAGGAGTGTAAAAAAAAATGTTAACTCCCTCATATGTTTTAATAGGAGACCTGCCATTGTCTAAAAGAGACATCGTGACATTTCTAGTTTCAGTGGATGTCACTAGTACAAGATCAGGGCAGTAGTGGCTGGTGGGGTTTTATAATAGTGGGGTGTTTTACTTGACCCTATACAGTATAGATATCCTCATACAATAGAGAGCTGAGCATTATACAGAGAGGCTCATACAATAAAACAGCTGGGCACAAGATAAAGATAACTATAAAATACATAGAGCTGAGTACAATACAGAGATAATAATATCATAAACAGAGCTGAAAATAGAGATATAATACACAGATCTGGGCACAATACAAATATACCTATACAACATACAGAGCTGAGTAGACTATAGAGATACCCATACTACAGTTGGAGATGAGTAAAATACAAAGAAATATGACACAGCGTTGGGCATAATAATAAGATATTCATAACTACCCCACAGCCAGGATCACTGTGATGGATTACACAGAGCTGCAATTCAGCGATACCCACACAGTACATGTCTCTGTATCATCGTAGACCTCTCTTAGCTCTCTCCCTCTCATGATCTCATTTTCAGTAGTGCTCCTGCTATGATATTTACCTTTCTATTAAATATTACTGCTGTTGTGAAGCATGTCAGCTACTGCATTAGCTTTCAGCACAGTGTGCACATGAGTAAAACATCAAGATACTAATAGACTCCAACCATATCAGTTACTCCTGACTCACTATTAGCCAGGGCTATCTTAACGCATGTGCACGCTGGGCAGTTGCCCGGGGGCCCCATGAGCATAGAGGCCCCATTGGCTTGCCAACTCTGCAGTATATTATTCTTAGAGATTTATTCAGAAACTTCAAATCCTCTATATTAAACGTTTAGGTGGATTTAGGTGGGCAAATCACATGTTATCTGTACATGCGATCTTGCTGTTGTGAAAACATATCTTGACAAAAACAATGTACACGTACTAATTGTACATAAGCAAGACAGAATCAACACACATCATTTTTTGAAGCCATAAAGCTATGTGTTGAACATTTGATTAATAATAAATAATTCACAGTAATTTCATGCTGTGCCATACCCGTCTGTATGATATACCAACTGAGTACCAGTTTTAGGTTGAATTCTTGGTTTTCAAATTCAAGACTCATTTTATATTGTCCAAAAGTTTGTGTGGATTAATCTCTGCTGTTTTTTAATGCTTGAACATTGGTTTTGTTGGAGGTACCAATAAATATTAGCTTAAATTATATCAATAATTTAAATTTGTTACTCCTTTGAGTGGTTGTATACGTAGGGTCCAAGTGCACTGATTTGCCCAGGAACCTATAATGCTGTTAAGACAGCTCTGCTATTAACTCTCAGAGCAGAGTGTAAACAGAGTTAAAGCAGCAGGATAATGATAGACTCCTTATTACCTTTGCAGCTGGCAATACAATTCATCTGCAGAAGTAATATGCCAAGAAGTAGCTGACATGGTTAACAGAGGCAACAATCATTACAGATTAAAACAGATTGAAATTGGAATCAGTTCAGTCCTCAGAGTCACAGCCCCAGTCTTGCAATTTAAAGCTTCACAACTTTTCAATTAGCCACAGCATGAGTATCTCAGGTCTCAGCTGTAGAGTGACGGCACACTTTAAAGAAGATGAAGGGGTGTGTGCAGTAAAGCTATTAGTAACAGGTAGCAAAGTGTTCTGTGTCAGAAATGTCCTCCTTTCCTGGTCACCCCTGGGCTTTACTGACATATATATATATATATTAGATATTTGAGTAAATGATCCTGCTTAATCAGCCCTCAAGTTACTAGGGCTATTGGGGGGAGAGAAAACTGTGATATTATATACTTACATTTGGCAGGGGGCAGGAGCTGCTGCTGTTGTCCCTCTGCGTTACTTCCAAGATGGCTTCTTGTGTACTATAAACCCACCCCCTGGTGCTATCAGCCAAGGATGGCCCTTTAATAAAGAGTTCAATTGCATTCCTACCCTCATGGGCAGTTGGCTCTGCTGCCCTAATGGCAACTCAATGAAAATTCTTGAAATTCTTTCCTAAAAGGACACTAGGCATGTGCAAAACTTGCTGATACAGGGCAGATTTCAAACCAGACCCATTTTTATTTTACATGCCTAGAAGTTCTCAAGTAAGCTCCTCCAAACAGCTAATCAATGAGAGCGAAGAGCCCTGCAGAACTGAAAGAGACACTAAGTTATTCCTTATTTTTTCTGGCTTACTACTCTTTCCTTTCAGAAAAAAGAATCTTAGAGTTTCTAAACTACTGCAAATACGTTTTTCCCCCATATAAAAACTGCTGAGCCGTTGCTCCAAGTGCTCCTATGGACAATGATTCCCAGGATCAGAGTCTTTTCATTTAACTAACACCCCATCGCATAGATTCTTTTTAATTGACTCGCGCAACTGCAAAACCAATTGATTCAATACCTTGTCCTTGAAGGGGAACTGTCACTTCCCAGGAATTTTAATATTATATGTACCTTTCTTTATATTTATTTGTCTGGTGCAATAAATACATTTAAATGTAGAAATCCCCAACACTTTATCCTGTAACATTTTGATTATACATATTTGTCCTGGCTTTGCCTTGTCTGAACTGCAGTATGATGTCAATAGTTAAATCTTTTATAGAAATTGAAAATAAAAATGCAGCTGAATATCAGCTAAAGAAGACTCAGACAAATCAGCAAGAGCCACATGGGTCAGTAAAATCAGGAGTACATAGATGAGATCATGGGAATTAAGTCATTAAGTAACAATGAACAAACTAAAGTGATCATTCGACGTAGGTGGTAAACTGAAAGGTACACAAATGTTAAAGACGAAAGAAAGAAGATAACAGAGTAACAATGTATGCAGTTTGTATAGATTGCAAAATAAAGACGAGGAAAGAAATGCAAGAGATCTAATTAAAAGGAGAGGACCGAGAAAATGTAGAGTAGGGAAGGAAGAAGATTTCAGGCAATAACCCCCACTTAAGCTATAGTGGGAGCTGTCAGAATAGTAATAATGTGAGTTTAATGTGAGTTTAACCCCTAAAGGACACAATTTCTGGAATAAAATGGAAACATTACGGAATATTTCCGTCATGTGTCCTTAAGGGGTTAATATATGTGATAGAGTATGGGTAAACATCGGTAAACTGCATCCAAATTAAAACAAGCATAACATCCTATATATAAAACAAAAATGTATATAGAGATGCAGCAAGGTCCGTTCCATAAAGTAGATAAAAAGGTCCGTTCCATAAAGTAGATAAGATTAAACCAAAGATTTTTTTTCTGCAAAAAAAATCTTTGGTTTAATCTTATCAGCTATCCATTATGCCATACAGTTTGCAATATGATAAACAGACATAATAAAGGATATCAGTGAAGATACCATGACTATAATAGTTTGGCTGAGCAAATGAGATGGAGCTTCATACTACATCTTAAGGTATTTGTTGAAAATCACTTGATGGGATTTAAACTCACCAAATATTTTTGAAGTCTTTCACTAGCATCGCAATATATTCTGGTATCTCTCCAAAGTTATGGAGCTGAATAGCATGCATTCATAAACATTGGTGTAGCAGATTTTCCACATGTTGACGCCATGTAGAGAATGGAAGCAGTTTGGTGCAAGTACGAGAGTCTATCTTAGGGATACTAAAGATGCACCCAAGTTTATGATACCTATAACCAGTGATAGAATTTCCAGGTTTAAATCTGTTGCTACAGCGACTGGACCTGCAGTTCTGCCTGCAAAACTGTTATTTAGTATATTGCCAAATTAGTAATATACTAAATAGCTATTAAATTACTGGCAGGCAGACACTACTTGAGCACGGTCCAGGTCTCCCTCACTGGTCAGACCTGTATTGTGCCAGGGGTAGGATTGAGCCCAGTGTGTGCATGTGATCTGCAGGTTACCAGGGCAATGCTCTGATACGTCCCTACAGCTGCACGGAAGTAGTAGTCTGCACCCTTCAGAGGAGCAGACAAGCAGTCATCCACTGGCTCGCAAGGGTGCAATATTCTTCCCATCTTGGCCCAAGATAAGAACGAAAAAGGAGGAAATACTCTTTTTCCATCTTCTCTTTCTTTTCTTCTCTCTTTGTTCTTGTTTTTATTTTTTCAGTCTAGATCACACGGTCGGAGGAATAATGTTGCAAAGGTACGAGATTGATTAGCATATCTACTGGCTACTTGTATTGCTTAACTGCCTGCTCTTATGTTAAACATAAAATACCTCAATAGACAGCAGGTGCCAAAGATACAGTAAGAAACGGGCTTGCAATGATAAAGTTGACTTGTATTCCTTTGCAATGATATGTAATTCAATTGGCTTCTTTATAAGCCCAAAAGTGAATGTATACCTGTTATGTTTATTGAAATATAAAGAATTTTAAAATAATGAAGGAACTGGGAGACCTAGAGCTATAGCACAGATTTTAAATTAGGACTCCTATAGTTATGCCTGAAAGCCAAAAAATATACAACCCTCGATGGGAGACTAACGTTAACGATGTAAAGGAAAAAGTATCATAAGGATCAACTGGAGCATATTCTACATTCTAATGTATTACCAATGTTGGCTCCTGTGCAAGCAAAATTATTACTGTATATTTGTTTACTCCTGTCGAGTAGGAAAATAGGGAATTATATAAAAAATATAAAAACCCTCAGTAGACGGAAGGTGCCAATGGTCTTTTAAGGAATGGGCATGTATTGTATTTGTTGAACTGCATTTTGTTTCCAAAACTTATATTCAAATTGGCTTCTGCCTAAGCCCAAATGTTGATGTACACTTGCTATGTCATTTGAGTAAAAAATAAAGAATTTAAAAAAAAGAAAAGGGAGGAAATAAACTTTAAATAAAGTTATTTTTTTTAAATTAATGAAACATGTGGATGCATATCTGTGTATAACATTATGTACCTGTATGTGTATGTTTATGCTTCTTTCTGTTTATAAGCCTGTGCCAGAATCAATGTAACCTGTTTCTGTGTGTGCATGTGTCTGTGTAGGCTTGTATGTGCCTGTTTGTGTATGCCTGTGACTGAGTATGCCCATTTGTGTTTGCCCGTGTCTGTGTACCCTGTCTGTGTGCACCTGTCTGTATATATGTGTGTCTGTGTATACCTGTGAGTGCCTTTCTGTGTGCCCATGTTTACCTGTGCCTGTATGTTCCTGTGTCTGTGTGCCTGTATGTGCTAGCCTGTGTATTTGCCTATCAGTTCCTCGTTATGCCCCTTGCAAGGTCTCCAGGTCTATGAACACTATTTAAATTATAGTCAGAAATAGACAGATCTATAATCCATATTTATATTTTTTGGGGCCTGTTGCATGACATAATGATCATTTAATTACTGACTTGACTTTTTTGTATAATATAAAATTAGTCAGTTGTACTTTATATTTTCGTTTGTACAGGACTCCAGAAGACATTAGTTCTATATAAAAAGTTACTATTTTACTAGTGAAATATATCCTGGGACTATATCTAAATTTTAGTATTTAACTAGAAAATAATATTATAATTAATTTATAAACACATGATGAACATAGGATAATATATAATATCACAGAACTGGATTAGCGAAGGGTTAATATTACGAATAGCATCTTCTCAATGTATTTAGTGTGTTCCCAGGTGTGTATGTTGTAAAAGTCTAGCTCTTTTGGCCTGGGGATATTTAGAAAAAAAATAAAAATACATACCTCGTATGTGCTGGTTATATTAAGTCTGTAAAAGAGAGGAAGAAATATTTCTGCGCAGATAATAACCACGAAAGCGTATGATATAGCAAATATGCTATACATTGCCCCATAGCGATAGACATCTGCCGGTGTTCCCAGGATAGTTACTGCCGACATGAAACTTGCTGTGAGAGATAAAGAGACTGGGAGAGCTGACATGCTTCTCCCTCCCGTCAGGAATTCCTGGGATGTCTCTTTTCCGACCCCAACTACGGCATAGTAGATTCCGATCGCTGCAGATATCGCTAAAACTGCAGCAAACACAACGTAATCCCAGGGAGTAAAAGAGCCGATTTCTCCGAGATCACCCATATTCACATCAAATGAATGCTCCGGCTGCCTACTCCCTGAGCTTATCTTCTGACAGACTCCTTCATTGAAGAACAGGTTTATATGTCACACTAACTGCGTTCCGTGCCAGGCTTGCTTATGTAGAGATGGACCGTTGCCAATTGTCTGTATGAAATGCCATCTTAAACCTTCCCACTTAAATCCACCTCATGATTATTCAGTGGTGTAAAAATAATGGACTTATAATAGAATAGCTCTGCAATCAAACCATGGCCTCGATTTAATACGCTTTCTAAATTATTCAATACTGTTAGAAAAATCTTTCTAAATGATTTATCTAAGAAGTCATCATTCAAAAAAAAAAAATTAAGGAAATTATTTTATATCAGTTATTTGGAAAGTTTTGCAAACAGTATTGAACAATTTGGAAATCTTATTAAAAGGTGTATTCCTAACACTAAAGTGTTCCTTTGTGCCCCCTCTCCCCATTATTATAATTTTTTAACACTTTAACACAACCTTCTTCCAGCGCAGAGGGACATCCTAATGTGCATGCGCAGCACGCGCTGCATTAGGCCTTCTTGATAGGAAAGCATTGGATTCCCTCATGCACAGTGTGAGGATGCCCAGTGTTTTAAGCTCTGTGAAACAGAAGGAAGCTCCTCTAGTGGCTGTCTGGTAGGCAGCCACTAGAGGCAGTCTTAACCTTGCAATATAAACATGAAATCATTGAAGATTAGGAGCAATATTTTCGATTCCAGGGTTCAGAGGACAGTGCACACTAGTCTGGGTGTCTCCCTTTAAATTGAGGCCTATGGCTTTAAAAAATAAAAATAAAAAATATTATAAAAAAAACAAAAAAAAACAACACTTATCTTCCACTTTAGTGATCTCGAACCCCTTTTTCTAAAAGGTGCATAGTGGAACTGGGTTCTCCACCTTCTACCATCAGTATGAAACATAAGTAAACTGGATTAACCAAACCAAGCGATATGTTTCTCTGTTGTTCTGCAGCTCTGCCCATATTTGTGTCAGTGTCTTTAGAACTAACTCATCAATGAACATTATTAGTATATCCCCTGGGCTGCTGCTGACTAGATGGACAGTGCGTAAAGGACACATTTCTAACACATTCAGGCTGGCACCTACCATCACCTACCTGTTTATAGATACTTGAAGGGTTATTTACTAAAGTGAGAATTCAAAGTGAATTTCTGATTTAAAGGGACACTATTGGCACCCAGACCACTTCAGATCATTCAAGTGGTCTGGGTGCAGTGTCCCAGTCACATTAACCCTGCAGTGGCGATTATTGCAGTTTTTAACTCCACCTCTAGTGGTCGCCTAACTGACGCTGGACGTCCTCACGCTATGCATGAGAACATACAGCGCCACCTGAAACAACACAGGAAAGCCTTGATTCTTGTAATGCTTTCCTATGGCAGGAATCATAATGCGAGTGTGGTGATCGCCGTGCATGCGCTTTAGGTCCCACCCCGACATTGGTAGGGTCGGAGCTAAGGGAGAGCCTGAACCAGCACAAGGGATATCGGTGATGGAATCAAATAAATGATGGGGGGGGACACACATACGCAAGGGAGAGGGGCACTATAGCAATATATAGTGCAAGTAAAACAACATTGTTTTCCTGGCACTATAGTTTCCCTTTAAGGTTAGAGTAGCTGAACTGAATGCATAGCTGACTCAGAAGGTTTTTCCACTTGAAATCTCACTTTAGATAATAACCTTGTTAAATATTTTAAAATTGAGAATCCAGCTGAGTTAATTTTCCAGGTAGGCTGTTTTTGCCTAAATTCCACAATTATCTTGTTCTCCCCAAATTCTTCTTTATTACGCATCTTTCTCTTCTTACGTTGATTGATTTGGCATCCACAGTCTTCGATATTAAGGGTTCATAACATCTTCTTCTTCTGTATTTATCTGGCTACTTAATGGGAATATAATGTGTTCCAGAGGACAGTATGGTGTACAGAATGGATTTACTTACAATGGATAAACAGGTATTTTCTGAACTGCACACAAGGAATGTATGGTAGCCGATTTGGAGAACCTTTTTTTTTTAGCAGTATTCGATAGGCTGGTCTTAGCTGTATAAATTAGCTGGTTATTTGTATAAGACTTTAATTATACTGAAGCTTTGTTTAATTAATGTGTTCAAAATACTCTAAAGCTATGTACGCATTCTGGATATGTTTTAACAGGCAGAACAGAAGCCAATTAACAGATTTGATGCAGATAAGGTAATGACTCAAAATCAACAAGTATTTCTTCTTTCAAACATTCAGCCTTATTTACAAAGGGACTTGACAGCTGAAAAGATTCGTACTTCTAAGCTAGGTTATCAATCCATAATGTTTGCGTTATGGTTAGCAGGCTGGTTTATGTGCATTATTCAACCCAGCTAGTAGACCTAATTTTACACGGTAAACGTTGCAGTGAATACATGCTGTGGTCTGTGAGACCCCAGCATGTAATTAGAAAAAGTTAATCATCTCCACCCACTATGACTGTCAATTGTCTCTCTGTATTAAAAATAACAATAATAGCACCGATAGGAGCCTTCCCCTCTTCTTCCACTTTGTGAGCAGTGGACTGGAAAGTAATATTGGCCCCATACTGCATTAACTCCTAAATGGCATTAACCCCTTCCTGGGTTTTGTATATCTCGCTTAATTTTGCCTCTTTTTTTTTGTTATTACTCTATTAAAAAATCTAAAAGAAATTAAAAATAAAACTATTATCTTATTGAATATTCAATTTTTTTTTTTTTTTAATCTTTAAAAAAATTATCTGATAAAAGCATCTGGGCAGATAATTCCACATCTGTCTTGTTCAGATACTCTCTTTAATAATACTTGTTGGAGGTTTCCCCTTTTCTGTCATTCTGGGCCAGTGGGACGGAATACCTTGCGTCTGAATTCTATGCAGTATTTCTCTATGAGCCCTCCATCCACACGTTCTGGCAGCTCACATCGTTCTTTTGTAAATTTGGAAGCTGGCCTCTATGGGTCCACATCCTTATATGGCACCAGACCCTCCTGCATCATTAGTAATGCGAACGTGCACGTACCCAGGGACGAATTAACATAGATGGATTAACATAGCTCCGGGCCCATGCCTATAGAATAGGCCCATTGATAAAAAAAAAAAAACGAAAAAACAAATAATGTTTTTCTCAAATTTTTTAATACTCTTCACATGCTCTTGCTTAAGTATGGAAACTTAAGAGGGATGTAGGGGAACAAAACTGGTGTGGATTGGCTGACAATGAAATTAGTTTAGGTAAAGCTGACTTTGTGCATTATGCAAATATTCTTGCTACTTCAGTCTCTCTAACACTGTGACATGTTCCCTTTCTTCTACACTCACTTCATACACCTTTTCTCTGTCTCAGTCTGTATAACAGGAGATTCTGCTTGCTACTAAGACGGTTAGGAGAGGAGTGGACCAGCGAGTGGTAGGGGACAGTCCTCAGAAAGCGTAAAGCTAGCGCATCATAGACGCATATATGCCAAGCTCAGGGTGCTGTCCGCACAGTATGCCATTGGTTGGTCATCCTGCATGGTTGTCAGGCTGCTTGACATGCTTTTATGCCAGGCTGACCATCTAATTCTTCGTGCAGACACATACCCTTTTTGTGCTTGTTTGTCCTTTTAGGCCGTTCTGATTAAGTGATTCACGTCAGTAGCCCACCCTTTTACCCATCGAAATCCTGGTTTACCGGACACTGCTGTTAGGGGGTATGGATTCACTTGAAAGATGAGATATTAGCATAGAGTATGTGTTTTCTGGTAGCTAAATCCTGTGAGTTTCTCTCCAGCACCACCTCCACCAGATACATGACGCTTGGGAGGTATGACTGTTTTAGGCCCATCATAATTGTCAGCACCAGGCCCAGTGGACTCTTAATCCGGCCCTCCACATACCATTTGGCATTGGCTAAATAAGTTCCCATGGGCGGTTGGTGGGGTTCACCTAGGGGAAGCTAGAATGTTCCCCCCAGTGGCCATAGACTGAATAATCCAGAGGGGTGGACATGCCATTGTCCACCACAGGGACTTCGGGTGCAGTTATTAATACAATAAAGGGGATTAAAATGCCATTATCAACCCACCAAATGAGCATCTCATGCTCCTGGGGTGGCTAAGGGTCTTTAAGCCCCTTGCCACCTCTACAATTAAAAGATCTCCTGTAATGTTATATACCCGTTATCCCTCGCCCACTGCTGAACACAAAAATTCTAATAATAACATCCTCAGCTGCTTCAGAGATGCTCTTTCCCTGTTAATACCTTGATAAATCGGCAGCAATAGCAACAGATGGGTCGACTTGAAGGTTTTGGCAAAATGTTAAAAATAGAGTTTGACCAAAAGAATACTGGGCTGCGTGTACTGCTCATGGTGTTAAGTGTCCTTCAGGGTTTAAAGGGGGTTTAAACCTTAAAGGATTAAACAGTCGTTCCAACAAGTTACTGCACGTGTCCTACCGGCAGACCAGACCTAAACTATAATCCTCTGCCCACACCTGTTGTATAAGGAAGTAAGCCACACAGTCAGGCTAAAACAATGAACTGCCTTACTTACAAAATGTTTCCTCTTTGGCATACTTTCTCAGACTTTTCTCTACTCATACTGCACTGTATAAGTTTCACTTAATATAAAAATTGTAAAATCTCTAAGGCACTTACATTTAATGATAGTTCATCAACATATATATCCCTTTCGCATTTTAACCACCTTAAACACTTGCACCCTAATGAGAGTATAAATAGACTGGCTACTCAGAGTGCAAGTCCTATCATGCTTTATAGCATAGCCAGCCTTTTGCACTCTCATGTATGCAGCTTAATGTAGTGGTCTATAGCATGTCAGTACAGGCTTTATAAGGTAAACACTGCCTTTTCACTGCCTAGTAACACCTCTAGTGACAGTCACTCAGACGGCCGCTAGAGATGCTTCCTGGGTCAGTGAACACTGCCACTCAGTGTCTACACGCTCTGC